AGTTAGTTCAGATCACTGTCAGTATAGACTATATACAGAAATACACAACTTATATTTAACATAAAGATGGAAAAGTTTAAATGGGGTAAAGTAACGGTGTGGGGGGGGGGGGGGGGGGGGGGGGGGGGGGGTAACAAAAATAGCATTGACAGAGTGTAATGAGTTAATTCAAATCACTGTCAGTAGACTATAAAATACACTACTTATGTTTAACGTAAACTAGGATGGAAATGTTTTAATGGGAAAAGTTTGTTATATTGTTTTTACTTTTCTTTTCAGGGAGATCTGAGTAGACGTTTAAGGTATGGCTTATAAATACTGTTCATTCCATGCTCTTTTGGGTTATGTCAGCATGCACTCCATAAGACTCAGTCATGGGTGCATCATTGGCAATTAACCAATCAGAGCGTGCTATACTTTATATATGTTATGATTTATGGTTTTGTATACTTCATATTTAATAATAATGGTTCATAATAAGTATATGTAATAGGACTCCATGCTGTCCAATTAAGAAATAATTGGACGAGGAAAATTCCGAGGACTTCCAAAATTGGATGAGGCCGTAGGCCAAGTCCAATTTGGCAGTCAGAGGAGTTTTTCAAGTCTAATTATTTCTTGATTGGGGAGCATGAAATCCCATTAACTATTAATTATATAGCTGCCTTATTAATCCCATACCAACAAGACCTGTCCAATTAAGAAAATAATTGGGCAGTTACCTATATGGGATTAATGAGAAGCTGTATTATTATAATATATTATTAGTATAACAAGTAATATATTACTTCAGAACAGCAATAACAATTCATGTATGTTATATATATTATATTATATTATTATTTATGTTTCTTTGATTTGTTTTATTATTTTTCAGCACTTGTAACATTGGAGGACGAAAGCAAACCAAAAGCTTTATAGGTACTACTTCTAATTGCTCAAAATCCCAAAGGGCTCAGTCACCCCTCCCCCAGGGGTCTCAAGCCTTTTTTAGTAAGTCTTTGTGTATGCCATGTGTACTTTGATTCAAAAATCATGCAGTCAAACAATCTTCTTATTGATAATTTTCCTAACGTCAAATTATGCTTGTAAAAACCCTTAAAGCATGACATGGTGCTTCTTAACTTTGATAAATTCAAACTGTAAATATTAAGGACTTCAATTATAACCATTCCAATGTTGATTAAAAGACTAGCTGACATGGGTCAAGTTGGATTTCCAGTGCATTTTGGGACTGTTTTTGGGGAACGAAGTAGATGCAATCTTGAAAAAATTTCCCCTAAGACAATCTCACAATGCACTGCAATGTCAACTTGACCCATTTTCTCCATTTACCTTGGAACAGCTAATTATAACACTTCGATCTATTATTAACAATTCATATACCAGAATATTGAGCTATAGGATTTCACTCAGTTTTTATTCATTTTGATTTAAAGCGCTTGTATTATAACACTTATCTACCTGTATAATATATAATTAAATGCCATAATATTGAGCTTCTATTGCTTTTAAATGTCTCATGTTTTTGTAAATAATTTTGTAAATAATGATTGTCATTTACATTATAATTGACAACTAATCAACCAATCGGAAACAATTGTTGTGGTACAATTGTTGTGGTGTAAAAGATGTGTTAGTGTTGTTATTGTAATTAACATTATCTCCATGGTTGTTATTAACTTTTAATAATTGATAATTATTTAAAATACAATACTAATAAATTAATCATTATTTATTATAATATATAATTGAATAATTATTCTCTAATAATATCGTTTTTTTCACAGTATTTATCGTAACAGTATTATTGACTTTTAATAATTATTGATAATTTAAAATACAATAATCATAAATTAATTATTATTTATTATAATATATAATTGAATAATTATTATTCACTAATAATATCATTTTGTCACAGTTTTTATTATAACAATATTATTAACTTTTATTTATTATTAATTATTTAAAATACAATAATCATAAATTAATTATTATTTATTATAATATATCATTGAATAATTATTATTCACTAATAATATAGTTTGTTTAAAACATTTTTTCATTTTTTCCCATGCAAGGTTCTGATAGCCCAGTAGGAAGCCCTGGATTTCCTTCACCTGGTTTAAATTCAAATCACTTCCTGTTCTCCAATGTTAGAAAGTAAGATCATCATACTAACTGTCTTTAGATATGGTCATAATTATTATCAATGATTTTTTATTTCTTTCACAGTGATTGCCTTATTTTATTATAATGTCACATGAAATAGTTTTTTGTTTTAGCTGTAAAAATACCAACAATTGGGAAGAAAACCGTGAAAAGTTGTGTTTTTTTAGGACTTAGAAAAAATATATTCATATCGTAGGATAAACACTGGTTTATAAATTGTTTGAAATCCAGACATATCAGACCTATCGATTTAGCTGTGAAAAATAAAATGAGTCCAAATTCTTATCATTCTTCACTACTCCGTCCCTCTTATAATATAAACAAGCTGTGACGTCATAGTGAAATATGGCAATTTGATCATCCCATTTTGAATACTCTTAGCTTGACTTAACAGTATAAATTGGTTGGTTGACATGCTGTGTTTGTGTGACAGGGCTGATAGTGGTGGAGGTAGAAGATGGTCTGTTGCATCCCTTACATCATCAGGATATGGAACCCACACTCCTTGTTCTTCTTCATATTCTGTAAGTGATGCAATGAGGGTTCAAAACACATTGCCAGTTGATTTCAAACTAGTGTTGACTTAAACTGTTCAAATTTAACACACTTCTTGCATGAATAATTGTTGTAATTGACATTTATGGGAAGCATGGCTGGGGTAGCGTGAGAGTGCTCGCCTTTCACCAATTGGACCTGACTTGAAAAACTGGGGGGAGGGAGGGGAGGGGCACAATGTCACTTCTCGACATATGTTCACAAAAAATGAATATTTTTTACACAGATATTACTTGTTACTTTTTTTGTGGGGAGGGGGAGGGGGGGATTAGTGGACATTGGTCACCCTCACAGCTGTGGGCCATGGTCTTACTCACTGTCCAAGTTTTTATTTATTTTTCAATATTATCTTTTGATAGTCACTGGCATCTTCCCAAGAACGTTTACATCAGGTAAGCATGAAGTGTCATTGAAAGTTTAATGACTGAGCTTATTAATAAGTTAAGTAAAAATGAGTAAAGCCTAAATCAGTTAAAATTTGGAGAGACAACAAGGGCTAATCAGTACCAAGTATGATGCCACTGTGTGATGATAGGATGCATTTGCCTGGAAATAATTGCCAGCAGATTGCTTGTCTGTACCCATAACATTGTTCTTTATGGCTGGAGAAAGGACTGTGAGGGTTAATTGTTCATTAACCCGACCTTAACTTTCTTTTTTGTTTGTATTTAACTTCAGTGGGGACAGATGTATGGGGATGAGTACAACTTAGCAGGGCATTTCAGGTATGTACCGCATAAGACTGCTTTCCTTATACAGTAAGTGATTCATAGTGTGACATGCAAAAGTATAATGTGTCCCCATACTCTTTTGCACTCTAACTTTTATGTATTCGATCAACACATTTCGATGTGAAGCTCACTGGTTTTACCAAACAACGGGTGTAAAAGCTTGTTTGTTATCATGCACAGAATAATGCAAATGCATTAAATGTGGTCATACTTTCGAGTATCACTGTCAGTAATTCTTTCACATTAATATATACCTCCCTTCTTAGTGTTCATTGCCAAAATCCTGATACATATGTGTATCAAACCTCCATTGCAATAAAGAGACATTATTGCACACTTATAATATAACACAAGACCTCTGTCAGGCTATTTTGTAATCAACTTGCATCGTCAGTAAGGTATCAGTTAGCTGTACGTGGTCGGTCGACCATTACGGATATATTGATGTGATGTTATACCATAATTATGTTACAGACAACTTACCATGTCACTGTTAAAGTGTTTTAATATTTTGATTTTTGATTTTAATAGAACATGACATGAAATTAACCTTCAAGGTACATGTGTTTGTTTCAGTGCCGACAGTGATCAAGATGAAGAAGGAAGCAGGTCACCTAAACCAAGACTACGTTCAAGAAGTCTCAGGTAATTAAACAACAACAACTTTATATTTTACACTCAATACAATCAGATTATTAATCTAGATACCCTTCGTTGCAGCCCTCACAGGTCTATAGGACAACAAGAAGATGATTTACAATTACTTAATAATTTATACAAAGAAAGATTTCCTAAGGTCAGTCATAATTCATTCAAAGTGACGCATCTTGAGTTTTATGCATCAATATTTGTAAAAACAATATGCATCACATGAATGTATAACCAAATGAACAGTAAATCCAAAAATCCATGAATCATGCTTTACATTTTGCTATTTTCACAAACAGCATATATCATGCACACATTTGAGGCTAAAGCACAAGTCAAACATAACCTCTGTACCCCGCTGTTTATAGGATTTACACTCATTATTATTATGACTGTCAACCAACAGTTGGGTGATAGTTGACCGACACATGTCGGCTGGTCATGAGGTACACGATTACCATTATTAAGACTCCCTAAAACCCTACACCTACTGACAACTTTACCCCAAAAAATAAGGTATTTTTGTAACTTCCTAATTAAAGTATACATGTAGTATTGGATAACATTAATGTGGATTGACATTTATCTTTGTTTCTTTTTCTAGGCTGTACAGCAAATGGAAGGAAAATTAAATGTAAGTAAACTGAAGTTAATGGCTGATGAAAATCAAACAAGATAGCTCAACCTATGATGACTGACAATAAATACTATTCTTGGGATAAGATAAATAGTTTACTTGGGAAGCATGGGTGGTGTGGCAAAGAGAGCACTTGCCTCTTATCAATGTGACCTGGGTTTGAGTCCCGAAGAGCTTGCTGTTGTATGTGAGTTGAGTGGTTTGTTGGTTCTCTCCTGTGCTTCGAGGGTTTTTCAGGTTCTCTGGTTTTCCTCCCTCCTCAAAAATCAACTTCTAAATTCCAATATTGGAATTTCAGTGGCTGAAGAGCCACTCTGTGGAAATGCCACTGCTAAATCCTATTTATTCGTATGTTTGATTATTCGTTTGTTTGTTTATTTGTTTATTTATTTATTTATTCTTTGTTGTAGGATTTTGTTGAAGACTATACCAGTGAAACGTTTGGCAGTGTGTTTGGTTGTGATGGAGTATTAAACTTTGTCTGGCATCAGGTAAATGACTACAACAAATCTATAATCCTTAACTTCTAAATTTTTAGGATTATGAAACTCTCCAAATCTTTCACAGAAAAAAAAAGGAATTTCCCATGCAGGAGAGGGAAGGGGATGGCAGAGTTTAAAGATTCCAAAGCTAATTTGCATGTGTGTGTGTGTTTGGAAGCCTGTTTAATAAGCATTTCTAAAATAGCAATCAAGGTAAATGCAGGATATTATATTCTTCTGACACTCAATGTAACTTGGCCCATGCCTCATATGAGTATGCTGTTCCCCGGTAGCCGCCACCCGGCTAGCTAGCTCACTTGGTAAGAGCGTCGGTCTGTTGTGCAGGAAGTTGTAGTTCAAGCCTCGGCCAGAACAACATCCAGGGTCTTAAAATAACTGAGGGGAAGGTGCTACCTTTGTTATTACATCTGCAAATGGTCAGACCTTCATGTGGCTTGGATGATCATGTTAATGGTGTCCCATCCCTAATCAACTAGAGACGTTAACAGAGGACCACAAGTTTATCAGTTGAACACTGTCAAGTGTTATCCTCTATAAACAAAGTTAATTAATTAAATTAAATTTAATTTCTTTAGGTATTTGAATTAATTAAATGGTTATGGCTTTGCTCATTTCTAGTTGTTTGTTTACATGTCGATTATGATTCAGGTGGTTTCGTTACGTGTGTATAGTTTGTACAGTACACACTATTGTCGATGTGATACAGATCTGTGTTTAAGTCATAACACAGTATTGCTAACAAATAACAAGAGATAACATTTTAGTAAGTAGTTTTGCTTGGTGTTGATAATTCAATTGTTTATGTACTTGTAACAGGTAGTAGAGACAGCACGTGACATCCTCAAACAATCCCAGGAAAATTCCCTTACCAGTAGATACTTCTATGATCTGTCAGAAAACATGGATAGATTAATAATAGAGGTAAGATTCTATCAATATATCTGATTAATAAATGATGGATTAAATCATGTAGCAAGCAAGTGTTTTGACTCCCAGACTTCAATGGGTTTTTTCTTAGTTCTTTGGTTGTATCCTTTTTTCCCTCTCTGCCAAAAGCAACTTCTAAATTCCAATGGAAATCCTTTGGAAGAAGGCCCACCCTGAGGAACCACTGTTAATTCCCATTTGCTGTATCATCAAAAACAGCTCCAACTGATGCTTCGTAGCTTTAGTCCTTTAATTTAATAAATAAGAGAAAATAAGGGAAAGGGAAAGGAACGGTTTGTACTCTATTTTAAAGCCCTGTTAACACTGGCGATTTTTGCGGCAATTTTTGCTGCAATTTTTGTGTCAATTTTTGTGTCAATTTGTGGAAATGTGAAATCTTTTGTCTCATCCTTCAAAAGAGACATTTGTCTAGGAAAATCTTGGTATCCTGAAAAAAAACTTTACAAGTAAATTCTTTACCATTATTTGTTATGGACAAAATCGCAAAAAAATAGCAGCAAAAATCGCTAGTGTAAACGGGGCTTAAAAAAAGGTTGAAGTGGTTAGTGGTGATAGGTGATTGATAAGCAATAGGCGATAAGTGATAGGAGAAAGGTCATTCCAAGATTTAAGAATAGCTGGAATGACTGTAGTTTCTCATTTTTCTTGTCAATAACAAAGAGGTTATTGTTGAGATTTTTAGTGTTGTTTGTGGTCAGCAAAAAACATGTAAAACACATGTAATACTTACATAAAACAACTAAATTATTTGTGTTTCGAAGCATGTCCACAGCTCCTTATGGACTTGCAACTGGTTTGCCCCTTCAACCTTTTTTAAAATAGCTCTATTGCTGTCAGATGAGAGGAGATAAAATAATAGCCAGTACAGAAATAATTACCAAAAAAGTTGAGGCACAAAGTATAGACACTGATCTACTGAGAAGGGAATGCCAGTCCAATAAAGGGGGCACTAAAAGTTGTGAAAAACTCTAGGCTCAAAATATGAAAATGTTTTATTTAAAGTGCTACTATGACGAAAATCGCTCAAACTTGGATTCAGCTGAAACTTCCTAAGAAGTTTATACACGTCATACACTCAACATCGAACATCGCTCCATACATTTCTTTGTAGTTTATGATCAAAATATCAGTAGTAAAGGGAGAAAGAAATACCCAAWCACCCCAAAATATAAATTATAGTCACAAGTAATGTGAAATAAGCACATTAGCCACCCATTGGGCTTCATAGGAATAAAATAAATTAAGGATTTATATACAAAGAAATATATGTAGCAATGTTTGATGTTGAGTGTATGACGTCACAGACTCCAAAAAATAATCGTAAAAATATCATACTTTCGTCCTGAATATCGAGAAAACACTTCATACAGTGATTATTGGACCTTTAAAGAGTATTCTTAGGAAGTTTCAGCTGCTTCCAAGTTTGAGCGATTTTTGTCATAGTAGCATATTGTTTACAGTAGACCAGACCACAAACAGGCCACTGCTGAGGCATATAATTTAATCTGTAAATATTTCTTTTATTATTTTGTAGGCAAGACAAAAAACTGACATTGACTTAGCACCTATTGAGAAACTAATGAGGAAGTTGTTGGTAATAGTGTCTAGACCAGCAAGATTACTGGAATGTCTCGTAAGTACATCATTGAACTAGCGATGTTATTCATAGAGAAAATGAAATTGAAACTTCACAGAAATGACAGTTGTGTGTAAAAAACTCTGCATTTTCTTTCTGTTTGTTCTTTTTGTTTTCCTTTTTTCCTGAAGGTGATGATGATGGTGGTTTTGATGATGGTGATGATGATGATGATGATGATGAATATTGATGAGGAATGATTGATGATAATAATATTAAAGGGGCACTTGGATGAAAATCGATGAAAAATGGAAATGCCTTGAAACTTGGTTAAACTTATCTATATGGCCCCAATAGTAGCCAAGCAACATATTTTTTCACAGTAAAAAGTGGCTGATAAAAATTAACAATTTTATTCAGCTAAAATTTCTCAACTGCAAGTGGCTCCCAGGCTAAAATTTTCACTAATCATGTTTACAAAGTCATAATTGAGTCATATTATCCTCAAATACTTCAATTGTTTGGACTTTCAAAAATTGGGGCGTTTTCATCCAAGTGCCCCTTTGAGTTATTGCTTTTGTTGCATGATAACTTATTGATGATAAACCCAGTTTCTTCCATTACGATTAACGACCCTGTATTCCTTTACAAAGATAAAATTGCACATGAATGTTTAGCATATATTCAACTGTAACACTTAAACTTAAACCGTAATATCTTCGTTTATCAGGAATTTAAACCAGGAGAGTTTTACAATATGCTTGAAAATGAAAGCAGACAGATGGATGGCATCCAGGAAAAGCTTGATATCACAAAGTATGTCAAAGCACACCTTGGCCTAGACCCAGAACCTTCTGAGAACATTGATGAACAAGATAATGAAGAAGTTATTACCCCAAGTAACCCTGCTATACCGCCCACAGAAGACGACTTTGACTACATTAAACTGATCAGTAATGGAGCTTATGGGTAAGGTGGACTAATATAGCTAACATTTTAAATGGAATTAACATAAGATTTGGTCGTGATTTGTTGTCCTGTCCACCAACATGGCAGCCATATTGTTTGTCCTGTTATTCTCATTTGGAAGGATGTATATCTAAAATAGCTATTCATAGTAACTTTTGCTCACGTTTAATGTTTATGGCCATTTCCTAATCGTAATTCACTTTTTTCCAGTGCTGTGTATCTTGTGAAACACAAGACAACCGAGACTCGATTCGCTATGAAGAAGATTAGCAAACATGTTATGTTACTTAAGAACCAGGTAATTACATTCATATTCCAGGAAATCAAGTGTGGTGTAACGGTAGCGTACTCATCCATTACTGATGGGGTCTCACTTTTGATTCCTGGACTTAGTATCACATGTGAGTGACTGATTCCAGGACTTGGTATCACATGTGAGTGGTTGATTCCAGGACTTGGTATCACATGTAAGTGGTTGATTCCTTGACTCAGAATTACATGTGAGTGGTTGATTCCTAGACTTGGTATCACATGTAAGTGGTTGATTCCTGGACTCAGTATCATGTGTGAGTGGTTGATTCCTTGACTCAGAATTACATGTGAGTGGTTGATTCCTAGACTTGGTATCCCATGTGAGTGGTTGATTCCTGGACTTGGTATCACGTGTGAGTGGTTGATTCCTGGACTTGGTATCACATGTGAGTGGTTGATTCCT